CTCTCTCTCGCTCTCTGTCGCTCTCTCTCGCTCTCTCTCTCTCTCTCTCTCTCTCTCTCTCGCTCTCACTCGCTCTCTCTCGCTCTCTCTCGCTCTCCCTCGCTCTCTCCCGCTCTCTCTCTCTCTCTCTGCTCTCTCTCTCTCTCTCTCGCTCTCTCCCGCTCTCTCTCTCTCTCTCTCTCTCTCTTTCTCTCTCTCTCTCTCTTCTCGCTCTCTCTCTCTCTCTCTCTCTCTCTCTCTCTCTCTCTTCCTTCTCTTCTCCGCCCCCCCCTCTTCCCACTTTCTCTCTCTCTCTCTCCTCTTTTTCTCTCTCTCTCTCTCTCTTCTCTCTCTCTCTCTCTCCTTATCTCTCTCTCTTCTATCTCTATCTCTCTCTCTCTCTTCTCTCTTCTCTCTTCTCTCTTCTCTCTCTCTCTCTCTCTCTCTTCTCTCTTCTCTCTTCTCTCTTCTCTCTTCTCTCTCTCTCTCTCTCTCTCTCTCTTCTCTCTTCTCTCTTTCTCTCGCCTGTCTCCTCTCTCAACTCCCCCTCTCTCTCTCTCTCTCTCTCTCTCTCTCCGCTCTCTCTCTCTCTCTCTCTCTCTCCTCTCCCTCTCTCTCGCTTCCTCTCTCTCTCTCTCTCTCTCTCTTGCTCTCTCTCTCTCTCTCTCTCTCTCTCTCTCTCTCTCTCGTCACGGGCTCGTGAGATCAGCCAGGGTGGCTCCCCCTTGGGGCTCCCAAATGATGCCCCTGGCAGCGTTTTGTGACCATGAGGCTCTCAAGAGATACATGTTGGGGAAGCCAAACGGCAATTCTAGCTGAGGCGTCCCACCAAAATCGGCGCGAACGGGCTCGTGAGATCAGCCAGGGTGGCTCCCCCTTGGGGCTCCCAAATGATGCCCCTGGCAGCGTTTTGTGACCATGAGGCTCTCAAGAGATACATGTTGGGGGCGCCAAACGGCAATTCTAGCTGAGACGTCCCACCAAAATCGGCGCGAACGGGCTCGTGAGATCAGCCAGGGTGGCTCCCCCTTGGGGCTCCCAAATGATGCCCCTGGCAGCGTTTTGTGACCATGAGGCTCTCAAGAGATACATGTTGGGGAGGCCAAACGGCAATTCTAGCTGAGGCGTCCCACCAAAATCGGCGCGAACGGGCTCGTGAGATCAGCCAGGGTGGCTCCCCCTTGGGGCTCCCAAATGATGCCCCTGGCAGCGTTTTGTGACCATGAGGCTCTCAAGAGATACATGTTCGGGGCGCCAAACGGCAATTCTAGCTGAGACGTCCCACCAAAATCGGCGCGAACGGGCTCGTGAGAACAGCCAGGGTGGCTCCCCCTTGGGGCTCCCAAATGATGCCCCTGGCAGCGTTTTGTGACCATGAGCCCCTCAAGAGATACATGTTCGGGGCGCCAAACGGCAATTCTAGCTGAGACGTCCCACCAAAATCGGCGCGAACGGGCTCGTGAGAACAGCCAGGGTGGCTTCCCCCTTGGGGCTCCCAAATGATGCCCCTGGCAGCGTTTTGTGACCATGAGGCTCTCAAGAGATACATGTTGGGGCGCCAAACGGCAATTCTAGCTGAGACGTCCCACCAAAATCGGCGCGAACGGGCTCGTGAGATCAGCCAGGGTGGCTCCCCCTTGGGGCTCCCAAATGATGCCCCTGGCAGCGTTTTGTGACCATGAGGCTCTCAAGAGATACATGTTGGGGGCGCCAAACGGCAATTCTAGCTGAGACGTCCCACCAAAATCGGCGCGAACGGGCTCGTGAGATCAGCCAGGGTGGCTCCCCCTTGGGGCTCCCAAATGATGCCCCTGGCAGCGTTTTGTGATCATGAGAGAGTGTGAGTGTGAGCTTAACTTATCTTATCTTATCTTGAAATCTCTTCTTATCATATCTTGTGCTATCTTATCTTATCTTGTAGTATCTTATCTTGTCTTGTCTTATCTGGTGATTATCATTGGGAGGAGGGAGGCGCGAGCGGGAGGAAAAAGGAGGAGGAGGAGTGGGAGGCGTCAGAGTAATAACAAGAACCCCAATCCTTAGGATATGGGGAACAACAACAACAACAACAACAACAATCATTTTAAGACTGTTCGCTCCGATCTGCTCACGTGCCAATCAATACGTATATCCCAAAACCTCGGCACCCGCCCTCGTCGTCTTCGATTGTACACCCTTGGGGGTATATCTTCCTTACCTGCCACGTGTATTTAGTGCAGCCCTTAAAAGAAAGGAAGAGAGGACGGGTGGAAGTGGGAGGCAGAAGAATGGAGCACGACAGAAACTAGCAGGAGGGGGGCAAGGAACAGAAAACAAGTGGTAGAACCAGACGGGCAGATCGGGTAGGCAGACCCTTAGCGCGCAAGTCGGGAAGGCGGGCCCAGGCGAAGAGGTCGAGAAGGCGGGCTGCTGAAGCGTAGGTCCTGCATGAATCGCGAGGAAGTCCCGAGCGAGAGCGCCTCTCCTGAGTTCGGGGGCCTTCTTGGCCAGGGGCTCTCGGAGTAAATCGTGAGGAAGTATC